TTTTGCCAACACCATTTGTTTAAAAGGCTGTTGTTTCTCCACTTAAGTGATTTAATTTCATTTTAGAAAAAAATTTCTATGGAAAGTGACATTTTATGTGATGTATCTATTGAACCAAATCTGAGATTGTCACTTTGCAACAAAGGCTCAGTCTCATTTCTGGAAATGTTTACAGATAAATCTTCCCATTTGAGTGTTCACTATTTGAATTTCACTACTGTTGGGAGGTCTGATGATCTAGTGGTAAGAAGCAGCACTGCCAGCTTCATATAGTTCAAATCCACCATTAGTTCCATGAGAGAAAGTTGGGCATTCTCCTCCCCTGTGATTTAGTACTTCTAAAAACCTGCTGGGGGTCAGCTATGAATTGGTTCAGACTCGATGGTATTCAGCAGCAACAACTGTTGGCAGTAGACATCGTGTGGCTATGCATGTGTACACTTCTTTCCGATCATTCCTAACGTCAGTATTCATCATGATGAATGAAAAAGAAATATTGTCAAGAATTTCATTTTTCTCAGACCAATAATTAAGATCCTTAAATGTTTGTTGTTGTAATTATTATTAGATCTCTTAAAAATGGCAATGACTCATAGTGATCCTATGAACAGTGGCTCTGAATCTTGCCCTAACCTGTGTCATCCTCACCATCTGACATCCAGTCACTGTGTCACTGAATCTTGTTGAGGGTCTTCCTCTCTTTCACTGACCCTCCAGCTTTCCCAGCATGACGTATTTTTCCAAAGACTGACCTCTCTTAACAAAACACCCCAAGTATGTGAAATGAAGCTTCACCATTTTTTGCATCAAAGGAGCACTCCGGCTTCATGCTTCCCAAGACATATCTGTTTGTTCTTTTGGCAGTCCCTGGGTTTTCTTACACCAACACCACAACTTGAAGGTATCTGATTCTTATTCATCCTTTTCTATTGTCCATCCAACTTTCAGATGCATAGCAAATAATTGAAAAGATCGAGGCTTAAATCAAGTGCACCTGAGTCTTGACATTCACATTATTGTTCCTTAGTACCTTGGAGAGGCCCTTGACAACACATTTTCCGTGGGTAACAAACATGTTTTGGTTTTGTAACTGCTGGTACCAAGGGTATTAACGGTGGTTGCAAGTAAGATGAAATTGTCGACAACTCCAGTCTTTTCTCCATCCATCATGGTGTTGCCTATTGAGAGATGCTATCGGCAAAATCTTGAGTGATCCAGGAATCATCAAAAGAAGTGGAAGGAATTCAGAGTCAGTGTATCAAGGTAGACACTGAAAAATTTCAGGAAGTGCTGTATGAACAAGAGCCAATGATTCAAGCTTCACTAAAGGTATTGGCAAAAAAATAAGGCTCCAGAAATGTTTCAACTAACAGAGGTAACCCTGGATGGGCTCACCAGTTGAAGCTAGGAAATTTTTAGTATGGTTACTTCACCAACTGACTGGAAAAGATCCATGTTTGTCCTCAACTCCAAGAGAGGTAATCCAACATAATGTGGAAATTATCATACAGTGTCATTAATATCACATGCAAATAAAATACTGCTGAAAATCCTCCAAAAACAGCTAGAACATTGATTGCCAGATAACTTCTAGAAGTTCAAGCTGGATTTAGAAGAGGCTGTAGCACCAGGAATATTGTTGATGTCAAATGGATTCTGACTTAAACCAGAGACTCCTGGAAAAATGTCTGTTTATGTTTTATTGACTATGCAAAAGCATTTGACTGTGTGGATTATAACAAATTATGGCTAACATTAAGAAAAATGGAGATCTCAGAACACTTTACTATATAAAATCTAGACCAAGAAACTATTATTTGAATAGAGTAAGGGAACATGGCATGATTTAAAATCAGGAAAGGTGTGCATCAGGGTTGCATCTTTCCTCCATACCTATTTGATCACTGAGCAAATCGTTCAAGAAGTTGGACTCTGTGAAGAAGAATGTGGCATCAGGATCAGAGGAAGACTCAGCCACAACCTGCATTATTGAGGTGACACAACCTTGCTTGTGTAAACAGAGGAGAACTTTAAACACTTGCTGTAGGAGATCAAAAACCATGGCCTTCAATATGGATTGCATCTCAACATCAAGAAGAAAAAAAAAATTCTCACCACTGGACCAATGTGCAACATCATGATAGATTGAGAAAGAACATTTTTAAACTGTCCATACCTTCGTTTTATTTGGCTCCACAGTCAACATCCTTAGCAGTCAGGAGATTGGAAATGTATTGCATTGGGCAAGTCTGATGACATGGACCTCTCCAAATTACTAAA